TGGGGCCGCCAGTGGGGGTCTGGCTAACACAAAGACCGAGACCTGCCAGTAGCTGTGCCTCCCTTTCTCATCGTCCCCCACCCTTCATAGAGTAGTGGTGCTGATATTTTATTTTAGTTTAAATTTGGTAAGGAATTTGGATATAATGCTCAGGCCATTGTTATTGATTTTATTTTTCTTCATAACATAGTTTTTCTCAGATTTTTTTGAATTGTTTTTTTTTTGTTTTGTTTTTTGGTGACCGCTGGCCGAGATTGCCCTGGGGTCCAAAATCCCCTGGTGACCGCGGGGTCAATCTCGGCCGGCGGTCACTACCCCAGGCCTACGGGGATACATAGGTGAAAACAGCATCGTGGTGGGAGTTGGTGTTTTTATAAAGAGGAGTGTGGGGAGGTGCTATCCGCTTTGAATCGCAAGGAGGTGGAGGTGGGTGGGTTTGTGGGGTCTCTGTCAGCAGTTTGGGGCCTGTGGGCACAGACCCCTGTCGCGCAGGTGGTAGGGCGGATTGGCAGGGGTTGGTAATAGCTCCGGATGAATGGTGGACATGATCATGCAGCGCTGACCACTCGTTTCTTTTTTGTGATTTTGATTCGTTTTCCTGGTAGTTCCTTTTTGCACATGATTTCTTAATGGTCGGTGGAATTTAGGTCACTAGTAAATTGGGGTTGACATGACTATAATTGTGATTAGAGTTTTTGGTGATGAACTTCAGATTGTGCTGATAATTTTCGTTGATTTTTCAGTGGTAGGGGCTGTGGAGTTGGCTGCAGGGTGAAATCTAGTGGTACCCTGGATGTGCTTGGCCGGTGATGCTTTGCCCGCTGAGGGCCCCACCTAATTTTGTGAAGGACATCGGGCCTGGTTCCTGGCTTATAAATGTTGTTCATTAAAAAAAAAAGAAAAAAAAAGAAAAAAAAAAAGAGAAATTGCCACCAATTTACCGAATATGACACCTGGGCGTTATAAATGAATGTACTGCCCGTCGGGCACTATATTCGTATACAATGCTGATCGCCTTTTTTTTTTTTTTTTTTTTGCGTGTCATCCTTGCGCAGGAGCCATGCTAATCTTCTCTGTATAGTTCCAATTTTAACGGATGTCCCGAAGGACTGAGAGCTATTTTTGGCTGAAGACGTAGTCATAAAGATATCTGACGTACTGACTATTGATGGATGTCCCGAGGGACTGAGAGCTATCTTTGGCTGAAGACGTAGTCATAAAGATATCTGACGTACTGACTATTGATGCACTGGATTGCATCCCCACGTTACGCCCTGGGATCGCGGACAGCGCTGATTACTTTCACCGAAAGGATTTGCTGTTGGATTTACTGTTGGTCGAACCACCAGTTCACTTGCCGCGCACTTAGTGCCAACAAGGAGCGATAGTCCGCTTGATACTTTTGATTGATATTGGTAGGGTCCTTGGCTAACAGGGGTGTGAGTGGGTTGTGTGTGGTGTGTGGGAGAGTGTTGGCCTTAGACACTGCTGTCATTCGGTTGGGGGTGGGGGATGATGAAAAAGGGACTCCGAGGCGGAAAAAGGACAATGGAGACCCGGATTGAGAAC